TTGGCAGAAGCCAATTTGTAGATGCACTTAAGATGATTTTAGTAAAAATTTCATTTGGAACGAGAGAGTGAGAGAGGCAACGAGCAAAGAAAAAACAATCAGGAAATAGCCAAGGAGTCGAATGAGAGAGCTAGAAATAGCTAGAAAGCGGAAAAAAGCGCAGAAGAAACGAGAGCGAGCGGGGATAGCAAAACGGTACCGAGTAGGATAGAATCAGTTTCAGCATCAAGGAGCAAAAGTAACGATACACACATCCGTCTGTTCGCGAGCTTACTGCATAACTTAAGAATAACCATTGTTCAATTGGCTGCTGGCAAACGGGGACGGTGTGTTACTGCTTATGGGAGAGAGGGGATATTCAATATGTACATGTTGCTTCAATTGTGTGTGCATTTTTTTCTCGTCTTTCGTTCAACTTCTTTCCACTTGCAAGTTGCTGTCTTCGTCGTCGTCGTCGTCGTCGCCGCCGCTACAAGTATGCATAAAAATACAAATTGCAAATTAAAGTGTTGAATATTTAACAATTTCCGATGAGCACAAGAGCAAAAGCAACCGTCCGTCCCTTTTGCTCTTACTCTGCCTCTCGCTCTCACTAAGTTCACTTTGCTGCGCTCCATTCGCTCGTTTTGCCATTATTTAATAAATAATGTGCAAAAATTTCATTTCTATTAATAAATTTTTCAATAAATAAAGTCGGCAAAGGAGCGGGAGACAAGGAATATAAGATCTCTTGATTAGCTTTTTCCTTTGAAATTGAATTGTGTGTGTTTGTGTGTGTTACATGAAACGATATATGTTATGACCATAGAGACCATGGTCTACACAGTAAATATTGTCAACAAAAAACTAAAAATGCTCAAACTCTCATTGATAACCGACAACGAAACGCGTCGAAAGCATCGGTTGGTCTTGGCAACGGTAAGAACATTTTATCCGCATTTTACCACCGCCATCGAGCTGCTAACCAACATGAATCGCATGAATTTGTGTCTATGTATGCGGTTTTTGTGTCCATTTGTTCTTTGGCAAATGCTCATTCACATCTGGTCAATTTTGTTGTGCTGTTCTCTGCCACTGATCAATTCGGGACACACACACACACTCAAAATTCGATGTTTGATTTGTATGGAAATTTGAAAAACCATATATTCAAAGGCCACATCACATACCATATTCAGGAAGCGTACTTAAGTGTATGCCAATAAGAACGAAACAAAGAAAAAAAACATACGACAAGCAAAGAAAAGAAAGCAGAAAAAAACTACACGGCAAGCAAGAACCCGAAAAGTTGACGTCAACGACGACGACGACAACGAAGACGACATTTGATGCGTGTGTGGAGATATTAATTTATACCATTTTCGTAGAAAACACATTAACAGCCCGAGACTTTGTATAAATACTGTGTTGTCCATCGTTTGCTTGGTGGATGAAGCGAAAGCGAAACAAAAATAAGACGGACAACGGCAGAAAGCGGCAGCAGCAGCAGCAGCAGCAGAAAAAATAGTCAATAGCCAGTGTGCGACAAAAGCCAATACACACAAATACTCGAACACAGCGAACAGCATGTGACGATACGAATATTACGCGAATGTCAAACAGAGGAAAATTGCCGATGAACTGAAATGTTTAGCCAAATGAGAAATATACTCGCCGAAGTGGTTCGATTGAAAAGTTGTAAAGAAGAAAAAAAAACTAAACGAAACTGTGTGCGACTAAGAATATGAAGAGAGCGAAAAAAGTCAACAGCAACAGAAAAGGAAGAAGAAGAAGAAAAAGAACGTTACTTGATTGCCTATTATGCTATGCTTGATTTCAATGGAATTGACAAAAAAAGAAGAAGAAAATACGCGATTTATCAGGAATTTATGTTTGTTGCGACCAACAACCACCTCCTCTCTTATTCTCACACACAACAACGCTCTGTGTTTGGATACATCTCTCTCTCTCGAGAGAGAGAGAGAAAATCGAATTGAAAACAAAAGCTAAACTAGCAACTAGTTTCTTTCAAATGTGTGTTTTGTTCTTGCTAGTTCCTTTGAAATTTATGAAATGAACATTTTTATTTGTTCGGCATTTGCTTTTCTTTTCATTTATTTCGATATTAGTCGCGATGATAGGATTTGGCTTGTGTGTATGTGTTTCCTTATTATTTGCTGCTACGATTTGTGTGTTGGTACGTATGAATTTGATTGTATAAATCAAGTGGGTTTTTCGAGAGTTGGGTGCCAGCATAGGAGCCGCATAAACCAAACGAGCCGCACACAGAGCGGATATAAACGATAGATGTTTGTTTGCATGGGCAAACCGGACGTATTTTTTTTGCTGCTGTTGCTGCTGCTGTTGTTGTTGTGTGTTGTACTGGTGCACTTATAGTTTCAAACATCGTCATCATTTTAATTGTGTTCGCGAGAGCGCACCGAACTTGTCGTCATTGAAATGATAACAATGTTTGGGCCGGCGACGACGACGACAGCAGCAGCAGCAGCAGCAGCGGCACCACCACTACCAGCGATAATACGATCTCGCAATTAAGGAACATTATGCGTTACCCACTCGCATAGTATGAGAGACTCTCATTGATAGTCTCATTCACATGTATTTCGGTCGCAAATTGAAATCAATCAGCAGTAGAAAAAAACAACAACAATTCCAAGTGCAAATGAGCGAAGAGAGCAACAGATTTTTTCCCTGTCTTGTCATTCTCTTTGGCTTGGTACATGTTTCCATATTTGTAATGAGTGTATATGAATCGACGACGACGACGACAAAACGATGACATATCGAAATAAGCCGTTAAAATGAAATTCATTGTCGATGTGCTTCGCGCTCGGCTTGTCTCTCCGCCGACTTTGTTTGTCAAACCATATATAAGGACACCAAAAGATAATGTTTTCGGCACATAGCGAGCGAGAGCGCAAATGGAAGAGAGTCGACGAGAGATAGACAGAGAAATTGAGAGATTGAGAGGAAGAGAAGGAGAGAAAGAGTGAGTGGAAGCGAGAGAGAAGTTAAAATACAGTCTCACCGAGGGAACTGTATGCAATTTTTGCACAAAATCATACAATGTGTGCACATGTGTGTATAGCGTCTCTCGGTGATATGTGGTACTATATATGCGTTTTTTTTCCTCCTTCTTCTTCTTCTTCTCTTCAAATAAAAATAAACAACATTTATTTTCGTCATGTATATTTATGCGTTATATTATGTGTGTTTTCTCCCTTCATTCGCCGGCACTCATTCGCTTTAAGTTATATTTTTGTGTTCAGCGTTCTGGCGTGCATGTTTGTGTATATGGCTGTGCTCTGAGTTTTTATCTCTGTCTGTTTTGTTCATTGCTCGGCCAATCGGTTTTGTATCGTTTGTCGCATTTGAACAAACGCGAGCGCGAGCGTGCGCGAGCTTGCGCTCACTCAATTCTCGGCTCGCTCGTCAGCCTTTCACAGATAACATTTCAAATGCAGAGTCATACACTTGCATTCAATTCCGTAAAATATACAAACGGCAATAATAAAAATGTGGTTAATCTCACATTATGCACTTTATACGTACACATACTAATAGCATTCGCACTTGGCGCGACGATTCGGTCGGTACGTTATTTTGGTGTTCGATGGCAGACACATACGACCCAATCACTTCGATTTTAATGTTGTTGTCATTCGCTGGACTCGCTCTACACTCAATCGACTTGCTTGTCTTTCGCTATGGGACTCTTTTTTTTCCTCTATGGACAATTGTACGGTGACGACAAGTCATTTTTGGACTCGATGGACTTTATGAAGTAAAACTTCATATTTGAAGTTGTCAGAATTAAACTAAAAACGATTTTTCTTTAAAGAAAAATATCTTTGGTTAGAAAAAGAAATAAAAATTTTGAAAAACGATAAAAATCCATGCTTGTTCTGGTGAAAAATGAAGAGAAAAATAAAAATAATAAATGTTTTTGACTAAAAATGCCATCGATTTTGAAATGGAGTCGATTAAATTTGAAAAAAATTCAATTGAATTGGAAAAAAACGCATTCGAGTTTGGAATTTCGCTTCAAAAATCCATATCGAACAATTCCTTCCTTTGATTACGAAATCGAGGCCCATTTGCCATTACATCCCAACCAGCCGCCTGCATATACAGTAATCCAATGTTACTATAAACAAAAACTACCGTAACAACACACACTATAACCAGTAATAATGTGCGCGCAAGACTCACTACCATCCACTTTATGAGTGGTGCGTTGCCGCCGCCACCTCTATCGTCGTTCACTGAACACAAAAACATATCACAATTCAAATGGTTGCGATGCACGTCGCCGACCTAAACGGCGTACAGCGTAAACAAACCATACTTGATTATGTTGTAGTCGAAAAGAATTCTCAGTGGAAAAGTATTACGAATGGAGTCGTATTGGAATACGGTTTGCAGCGCACCGTTACACATACACATGCCGTACGTTAGGCCATAATGCGTTTACTGCTAGTAGCAGTCTGCTACCACCGGCCACACATTCAACGTATCGCAATCTCAACATGAATACATTACGAGCGAGCAATCGCTCACTCGCTCGTTAACTTACAGCTAGCATTTCTGGTTCGATTCGAATGATTCCCGTGGATTTAGTGAGTCTAACTATTGAATTCACACACTCCATTAGAACGAAAATGAAAAAAATGATTTTTTTCCCCCTAAAAAAGTTCGCTGTTCAGTCCAAAAAGGTCTCGTTGCTAAAGATTTCAAAAGCGGCAACATTTCCGTGCAGTGTGACCGTTCGAAATGATTCCTGCATCGAGATAGAGAACACCGAGCGTTCGCCGATATTCCAGAACCGTGAGTATGTGTGCGATACGGTTGTGCACATGTGCGGCAGTGAGTAGCGCACGCGAGTGCATGCCACCGTTACCGCTTTCCGCCGTCACCGTCGCCGTTGTAGTCACGCAACGAAATTTTCAAGTCTTATAGTATTCCGGTTGGATTTGTTTGGTTAGTCTCGTATATGCCGGCATCGTAGAAACATTCATTGATTCTAAATGCGTGTGTCGTATTATCTCAACAGCAATTTTTTTGAGAGAAAAAAAAATCATCCAACCAACTGAGATTTATCTGAATGAGCTAACAACTTTCGTAGCCCATCAGTAAATTCGGAATATTTCCGATTTTTTTTTATTCGACGACCAAATTCGAAACGGTTCGTGTGTTTATATATTATATTGTGTACTAGAGAGCGAGAAAATTACCACTGCGAAAATAAAAAGCGATTTTTATGAGTTCAGAAAGCAAAAAATCCCGTGTGTAATCATATGTTTATCCGCCAACGAAATCATAGAGAAAAAAAATTCTTTGGCTTCGAATTCTCTTCGTTGCAAAAATCGTGTGATTTCTCTCGTTCGAATAACAACGACGAAACACCGAAAAAAAAATCTCGAACGCGATACACACCGATAGAGAAACAGTGCAATTTGTCAGGCAGTTCGACAAGTGTTTGTTTTGGACGGGGCGAATTTTCGATCGCTTTTGTTTCATTCAATTTTTGTCATAATCCAAACGACATAAAATATTGACAAAATATTTGACGAGAAAAAAAAACATAAAAAACAAGCGAAAAAAAAATCGATACGTAACACTTAGTCACGCGTTGTGTTGCACATTGAAACGAATACAAATACCAAAAATCTGCGAAACACAAAGAAACAACGAAACATTTTGAAGAGAGAGAGAGAAAGAAGAAAACGTAAGAATTTTTTTTTCTTCGTTCGTTCATTCGTTCATATGAAATAAAAACAATCAACCTCTCATTTGTGCTGATACACTATCGCGACGATATTGAAACGAAAAAAAAAGATAAACAAAAAGCGGCGATGAGTTAAGAAACCGAAAAGCACCGACCGAACACACCGTTTGAGTGTCAGTGAGTGAATGTGTATTTCTGGTATTTATCGCGGTGCGAGAGAGGATTTAGCAACAGAGAAACGAAAAACAAAGTCTCACACAAAACCAGTGAAACCAAATTGAGTCGTGTGTGTGTGTGTGTGGTGCACTTGACTCCGAATCCGAATGAAAAAAAAAACGAAATTAATGCTTTTATTTTGCTTCTTCTTCCTAAAACGGCATCTAACTCATTTGTTGCAATTGAACCGCTGCTCGAGCGAATAAAACAGTAGCGCGAATTTGTTCAACTACTCTCTTTCTCCTACTTTATTGTTTGTCTCGCGTCTTCTTCGATTGATGTTCATTTTATAAATAAAACGCAAGAACGAAACGGAACAGCAACAGGAACGAATGAATAGAAACAGAAGAAAAAAATTTGAAGACAGCATTGAATGGAAAACAAATGAACGAATTAATTAGTTATAATTTTGCGCGCATTTTGTCGTCGACTGAATTGACTGCCTTTTCTGCTGCTCTCTTCATTCGGTCGCTAAATTCTTTAATAATACACATTTTCTTCTTGGCGAAGTGAGCGCGCGTTAAGTGTCAATGTGATTATTGTTTGGTATTTCCATTTTTTCCATTCTAATTCAGTCAACGCACACACGCTTTTTCTTCGGCTGCTGTCTTCAATCATAATTCTTTGTTATTAATCATTTTTCGTGCGTTTGACTTTATTGGCATTCCATTTTTTAATATTCCATCGAATTCTCATGTCGAGAGAGAGAAAGAGAGAGAGAGAGAGAGAGAGAGAGAGAGAGAGAGAGGGGGGAAGGGAGACGAAAACGTGGCTGAAGCTTAACTGTTGCTAAGTGTTTGAAAAAATTTCTAAGATCGAACGCAGTTCACACATGTTGAGCATATTTCATGTTGGCCTCAAATCATTGGACATATTTCAAAATTCATAGAATGAAGTGGGAAAAATGCTTAGAATGAACAAATGATGTAAATGACAAATATGGTCAGAAATTATATAAAGTGAAAAAAACTCATGGAAATATTGAAAAGTGAAGAAAATCGAGAAAAACCACGAAAAATCACGAAAAATCCTGAAAAATCTTGGGAAATCATAAAAAATGGCCTAATCAAAAAAAAAATTCTAGAAAATCAGGAAAAACTTTGGCGAAAATTAGCCAAAAATGTTCAAAAATCACGAAAATTCTTGAAAAACAGCGAAAAAACTCGAAAAATAAAAAAAAAAAAAAAAAAAACAGTTTTCCATTAAACTTGTCTGAATCACAACCATATCTTCAAATGTAATTTTCAGAACAATTCTCTCTATTGATTTGTGTCGTGGGAGAGTGAGACTTTGTGTGTTTTTCATTTTTAAAAAATTCACTCTGAGCGCGTATGAATGGTATTTCGTTATTGTTTGGTCGTTTGTTTGTTATTAATAACATTATCAGCTACAATCGAAGCGATAAGCGAATTCTTGAGAAAAAGGGAATTCATTTGTTGATTCGTTCGCATACGTTCCATTCGTTTGTATAGCCTTGCGAGTATGTCTCGGTTTATTCTCTAGTCTGTTTATATACTTAAATGGAATTGGTACTGGATTTGAACAATAGAGAGAGAGAGAGAGAGGAACCGTTGCAGTTTCACATATGGCAATAAACTTGTGTATGTTGTTTTTGTAATTATTTGTCTATTTGAAGCGATAGAGAGAAGAGGAGAGAAAAAACAAGTATTGCAAGTGCTGTCGAAGCAGTCAAAATGTGTGTATTTGAACGAGCAAGTGAGAAAATAAGATAAATATGAGCAGTAATCGGCAAATATTTTTTCCAAAAAAAAAAATTTGGTTTTGTTTACGAAAAAAACCGATAGCAGCGAGTAACAAAACAAGAAGAAGGAGAAAAAACATTTTAAATGCCGCAAATGACGAAGAAGAGACAAAAAAAAACCAGTAAAAAATCAATTTATAAACAACGGAAAAAATGTGTGTGTGTGTTGTTTCCAAGGAAAAGGTTAAGTCAGATGCTTGGCCAAAAAAAAAAATATTTTTTGGATAATCAAATGAGAGAGAGTGAAAATGTCGAATGATATAACGTTTGTGTTGATTCAGTTGCATGAGCTGTGAATTTGGACTTGAACTTCAAAAATTGTGCGCTTAATCGTCATTCAATTGGTTTGATTGAAATTTCGCTGTGTCAATTGTTTTTTCTTCTCTCTGTTTTCTCCTCTTTCGTTCGATGTTGTGACGCTGTTGATGTTTATCTGTTCTCATTTGTGCTGTGATTGGTTCTGATTCATCGACTTTTGACTGTTGTGCGAATGCATAAAATTGTTCTCACGTGACATTTAACCGAGAGAGCGCAAAAGAATCTCTTTGGCAACACAGACCAACAAAAACCGTCAGATGAAACAGAGGCAACGAAACTCGTCAAATGAAATAAAGACAAAAAAAAATTCGCTCAAAAAAGTACAACAACAAAGAGAAACAATTGTACGTGAAGAGAGACACACAGAGCAAAAACAAATGATGATTCTGACAACAAAGTCAACCACCGATGTCATGATGCATGATGTCGTGAAACCACTAAAAATACATGATATGCGATTTGTGTGTGGCGAATGCATTCACAGATTATACGAAAAAAAAATATTAACAGAGACAAGCTCCGACCAAGAGAGAGAGAGAGAGAGAGAGAGAGAGATCCACTTATATTGCGCCGTGGCCAATCCGTTCGGGGCCGGAATTTTATATTGTTTGTTACTGTTATTATTTGTAATAGAATCAAGTTTAGAGTTTCGCATTGCACACGCATCTAAAATTACAGTGAGCGAATAAGCAAGCGAGCGAGCGCGAGAGAGAGAATGAGACCACTTGGTTCGGTGTCGACTGGCTTGCCGTGTATGTTTATTTATGTTTTGTGAGAGACTGAGAGATGCAAGTGGCATTTTCAATCTCATTCTGTTGTAGCTTAAAACGGTGAATCCCGTTTTTGTTGTTTGTCAAATCACAATGTTTTTTTTTTCGTCGTCGTCGACGTGCATTTGTGTCTGACACAACAGGTTCCATCACAACACACATGCATACATATTCTTTGCCATTTAATCTCGATTATGCGATGTGGTCGCAATTGTTGTTGTCAACATAAAATCGAATTCGCTTTTTTTTGTTACTTCCCATGTTTGCATCGCAATAACCTTCGCAACATCGCCGACCGCTCTTCCAATCTACGTGAATATGATTTATTATCATATCGACGAATGCATACAATTTACTATCTTAAGCGCGCACTCTCTCTCTCTCTCTCTTTTTGCGTTAGCAGGCCAACGTGTGTATTGTTGGTGTATTCTTTTTTTTCGGGGCTATTAAATTAACAAGATAAATTCGTTTTGTCGGTTTTTGAGTCGCATGTGCCATCAACACAAAATGGAATTCACTCGATAATTGACACACCGAGACACATACACGCACAATGTAAAAAGCGTATTAAATATTTTATGATAAATGACGTAGGTGGAGAATTCACTTCAAGTTGGACAGAGACAGCAATATAAACCGAACGCAGCAGAAAAAAACCACATACTAAGTGATTCGTTATCAGCTCTTAAAAATAGCCAGATGAATCATATTTGTTTCGCTTGTCAAATCGAACAAACACACACACACACACACACACACACACACACACACACAAAAGAAATTACACATATGAAGTCATTTGAGTGAACGCGAATTGTTGTGCGATCAATCCAATTGGACTAATTCAAATAGAGTTGCCGTTTGGTACCATACCATATGAGATTGAATGAAAGTAGCGCATATCAGTGCGAATATGGATTATGATGTTTATTTGAAATCAGCGACGATATCGTCCAATTTGTGCATTTCATGCGAAATAAGAGACGACCCCAAAAAATGAATCCAAACTGAGGAAGAAAAAATGAATCAAAACCGTGGCGAAAAAAATCACAACACGAAATTTGTTTTTTATCTCCATTTTGTATTGATTTACTTTGGTCGGTCCTTTATTAACGGTCAGCACTTTATTATGGTATTATTCTTCATTTGTGCGCATTGAACGTGAGCGCGCCCGCATCAAATGTGCAACAATTTCATTTTGAACGTTGGACAAGTAAAAATAAAAACCCATCGAACGGGACGGGGACCTGGTATGAAACGGAGGAAGAGGGATACCTAAAAAAACGAGACAGCGAAAGAGAGAGAGAGAGGAACAGAGAAAGAGTGAGAGAAAGAGACAAGAGAAGATACAGGGTAGATAGGAAAAAGAGGCAAGAGCAGACAGAGTGAGAGAGAAAAAGAGAGAAAAAAACGAGATTGAAACATTGGTTTCGATTTAAACAATCAGCTGCATGAAAATGGGAAAAAAATAAAATAAAAGCGCGCGCCCGAGAACAATCAATCCGTCTAGTAATAACAAGAATGCTTTATTTTTTGTTTTGTTTTCATTGTTATTGTTGTTTCAATGAACCGAATTTAAATGTTTTGATCGCACTATTTTCGCAAAACTGTCGGTACGAATAATTTGCGCCCGGTCGACTCGGTGTATTCTCCTCATTCCACTCGCTCTGCATCGCTCTTTTTCCATTTTGCATCGAGACCATGATTATTTGACAGCCGCCTGCCTACTGCTCGTTGTTTCTGTCTATTTGCATGGCGATGCATTTTTTTTTCTTCCGTGCTACACACACACACACACACAAAAAAGAGACACATTTTTTTCCTCTCGCATTTAAATCACCTTTTTTTCTGCTGTTGTTTAAATTCATTTGGCGATTTAATTTATTTTAATTTATTTATGCATAAAAAATAATGTCAAATAAAAACAAGCAGAAAAATGCCAAACAAAAGGTGAAACACACACACTCACATGGAATTTCTGGTTTAAAAAAAAAACAACAAATTGATGCCAAAGATGCACCAGGAATGTGCGGGTGTTTGCTTGTGTGTGTGAATTGCTGAGATGAATGTCCAGTACATCATGAACAATGTGCATTGAATGACTTTTTTCGGTTTGTTAGCCAGCCATTTGTTTTTCTATCCAAATTTATTCGATAAAGTTGCCATTATTTTTTTTGTTTTGGCGCAAAATCATCTCTCTCTCTCTCTCTCTCTCTCCCTCCATCTCTCTCCTTCTCTCATGCTGCCTCTTTCTCTCTTTTTATCTCTGGATCATTTTTTCTCTCCCTCACGCTTTATGAATCGGATTTTTAAGTTGCGTGTGCCAATTTTGTGCAAACTAAAAAAAAGAATGTTGCTTTTGACAGTTGGTCAACATCGGTCACATTTTCCCGCTTAATGAACAAATAACCAACTCTCGATGCATTCGAAACAACGCCAGCAAAAACACCACCGACAAAAATATCCTCTGGATAAAATTCGGTAGGATAGTGGTGAGATAAAAAAAAAAACAACCATCACATTCCACGTGCGACAATCTCCCATTTTATTTACACAGAATATACACGATTCGGGCGGTATGTGTTTTTATTCTCGCGTCATTATTGTCGTTGCATGGCAGTTTTGGGTCACAATCAACAACGAAAAAAAATTATTAATCAAAAAATATAAATTAAAATAAATCATTAAGAATGGTGGTGTGTGTGCCTGGATTTTCCTTCAGAGTCGCGGGAACGGGCAGAGGTGGAGAGGGCAATGTATCATATTTGAGGTTGTTTCTCCATCACACATAACAGTTGTCTCTTCATTAAATTTCAATTTTGGCAAACACGACCGAATGGCACACGCTCAATCGAATACATCATTTTTACTCGCAATGAATCGCTCACATTGCACACATACGCTGCGAAACCAGTTTCGGTTAATCACCACCGCAAACGGACAGTTTTCGATGAAGACTGCTTGAATGTTAAGGCTTTTTCTGCGGGAAATACGAGCCGAACGAGTGAAATACATCACTAGCAGATACACGCAGATGGAATTCTTTTCGCATTTTAACGAGTTCGGTTGGGATTTTTACGAGATTTTCCCTTCTTTTTCGATCGAAAATCGAGTATCGGAAATCGAGTGTCGAACGCCGTGTATCAAACGCCAGTATCGAACGGGAGTGTTGAAAGTCAAGTGTTGAAGTCGATTGTTGAACGCTAGAAGTCGCTGTTCGAAATATTCTACGCACAAATTTACAAATCTTCTCTCTCAAATCGTGAAAATACCCAAAAATATCTAGAAAAAAAAATCATCGAAAAAGCATTTCGGATTAGCCAATTAGGACATCAAAACTCCTTCAAAAAGACTATAACAAATCGTTTCAAAAATGCAGAATTAATTGCTCTCTTCCACCTTATTCTCATTAAAAACACATTTTTTTTCATTCTCATCGGCGTCAAATTAATCGTTTTTTCCTTCTTTTTTTTCAGAAATCAATTTGCGAAGCATCCAAATAAAATACCCATCAAAACTGCTAAATTTTGTGGTATGAACCCGATTTTCCAGCAAATATTGTGTGATGACAAAACATACACATAATCTGGCGCCTAACATGATGTGAAGTTCAAATTGTGAATGTGTTCAAAACCTCATCAAATGTTAATGAAGTGTTAATCAAGACGAAAAAAAAAACCGTTTCAATGCCAGAAAACCTTATGAATAAAAAGAAGTGAAAAAATCTGAACGAATAAAAAGAAAGGAATCAAAGAAGTATAGAAAAAAAAAACCGTGCAAAATTTGTTAATTGGAAAATCAACATTAGCAGCAAAAAATCACCATAATTTGTATGTTTTTATGAAAGTGCGATGAATTTGTCCGAATAACAGTACTGAAAAGTGAACGATTTCGGCAAGTGAAGAAAAAAAACCAGCGAATAAGTGATTTACATTGTGAAAAATTATCGACACAAATTGAAAAAAATAAAAAACCGAAAGAGCGAAAAAAACCATCGACCTAATCAAATTGTCGAGTTCAATGTGTCATAATAACCCAAAGAAAGTGCAACATTGAAAATCCAATAAACGAGCAACAAAAAAAGTACATTGAAATCAAATCGCCAAAGTTATATTGCCCCCAAGCGAAATCCGAGAAAAAAGCACACTGCATTCTAAGAATTCGACGAAAAACGCCGCGGCAAACCGATTTTTTTTGTTGTTGTTGTTCTTTGTTTTCTGCAAAACACACAAACATATTCAAAATTCAGCATTTACCAGCATATAAGCGCCATCATTTGTTTTCTAAAGCAAAAACCCGAATAGCACAAGCTCAGCGCAAATCAAATATTGAACGACAACATTTTTCGTTTGATGAATATGAATTGATTTATTCGTTCAATTAATAAATCGTATTATTTTGGGTTCTCATGTTCGGTTCTCCGATTTATTGTTATACAAAACTTCGAATTGCATAATAAAAACTCCGGGCCGAATTCACTCACATCGAAAAAAAAACGCACATCCCTAAACAGCAGCAGCAACGACGAAATCAATTTTTGTGCGGGCCATTTGATTAATGTGTGTGTATATTGGTCTATTGTGTGCCGTTGAGTGATTGAGAGAGAGAGAGAGAGAGAAATTGTGTGTCATTTTTTTTCAGTCTCTCGAGAAAACCAAAATATTTTGCTTAATAAAATCAAGAAAAGTTTTTAACGTTGATTCGTTTTCGGTGTATTTTTTCCGTTCGAAATGTTTTAATTGAGCAAGAAAAAGAAGAAGAAGAAGAAGAAGAAGAGTGCATGTGTAAAACGAGTGTATTCATTTGAAAGAAAAAAATATCGCTGGTGCAAAGAAGCAAAACATCGAACGACAAATCAACTTTGAATTAACGCAACTATACAAATTGTCTAACAAAACAAAACCAGTTGTTATTGCTACGTGTTTTTTTTTGGTGAAAGAATTTATTCAGATTCAGAATTGATACCGAAAAAAATTATGGTTATTTGAATTCCAGAAAAAATTGCAGGAAAATTTCAAAAGAAAAAGAGAAATTAAACGAAACAAAAAAAAAGAGAAAGAAGAGAAAAGTGTTGCACTGCATTAAACTTGACTGAGTTGTTAGTTTTTTTTTCTTTGATTGTTTTGTTTATTTGCAAAACTTTGACTTGATAATTGTGCGTGAACGGCAACATTACGGCAACCGCAAACATGGATATCTTACCGAGTGGAAACATTTTTCGTGAACTGCAAGACATACACGACACCGGATACTTTTCATCTCAAGTATCGATCGAGGATCAATGGCAACAGGCAAGTTATAATCTTTTTTTCATTGGAATTTGGTCAAGAATTCGGCCACACAGGTCAAATTGGTCGATTTTGGTCGAATTTAGTCAAATTTGATTGATTTTCGTCAAATCGATCGAATTTTTCGACTTTCATATCACAATTCGGCAAGTAATTGGATTTCTTTTGGCTTTCAACAAACATATTTCCACGAAAATATTTGATAAATTGATTGATTTGAATCGAAAGTTGGTATTGGTAACGTTTGGAATTTCTATAAATTTCAAACGAATTGGAAAATTCAACGGAAAAGTTGAAAATTTTGAGAAAAACCCGAAATTTCGGAGGAAAAAATCGAAAATTTGTAGAAGAAAATTGAAAATTCAGACGAAAAAAATGAAAAATCTCGAGAAATAATCTGGAATTTTGAGGAAAAAATCGAAAAATTTGAAAATTCAACCCGAAAAATTGAAAAAAAAAATTTGAAGAAATTTAAAATTTCATAGAAAAGTCCAAAAATTGGGAACAAAAAATTGACATTCACTACTAAAATTTGGCTAAAACCAAAAAAAAAAGTTCAATGATAAGTCTCGTAATTGCCTCTCGCATCCAATCACACACATCGCATTGAGATGAAAACAAGTGAATAAAAATACAGGGAACGAGACACGTTGACTATTTTAAATTCATATTCATATGATTTCTATTTCATTTTTGTTGTTAAGTTTTAAATTTTAGATAAGAAACGTAGCAGCTGTTTTAAAAATCCAGCTCTCGTTTGGTTATATATATTTAGTTGAAGTACTTACTTGGTTTTGGTATAATTTAAATAACATCCAGGGAATTTTAGGGGTTTTCGTGGAAATGTGTTGAAATTTAAGACAAAAAACCGCATATCATTCAACATCACACAATGACTATGCTGTTCCTACCGAAAAAAAATTAGTTAGTGAAGCGATGTTTTTCTAATTGGAATCATCACATAAAGTATTATCTCCTGTGACTTGTCTTTTGAGGGCTGCAAATATAAATTTACCATCGTTACGGCGCCCTTTTTTCTTCCACTTGGCCCTTTTGTCATGATAATTTCCTCAGCAAAACGAAAGACGAACCACCAAAAAATTGACATCATTTCAAGCGAAACGAATTCGATTTATGAGTGTATTCAGTCGTTTTGAAAGGAAAAAAATTATGAATTTTGGTGCGGAATGTTAGTGTTACCCTTTTTTGTGGTTTTTCTACGTCTGCGTTGCATGTAAATTGCATTTTAATGCAAAATAAGGCATAGCATTCGGCCACCCTCAAAATGGAAACAAGCAAGTGGAATTTTTATTGTCTTGCCAACCGAAATCGATGCACGCCTTCAGGCTCTCTCGAGAATATTCTCATTAGAAGAAATATATTTTCAAATATCCAAATGATAAATTCCAGTCGCAAAAGCGAAAAAATTTCCATGTTATTGCATTGGGCAAATGCCATGCTGAATCGAAAAACAACGAGAAGAAGAAAAAAAATATGCTTCGAACTGAGGAAACAAAGAAGAAGAAGAAGAAGTAAGAATCAAAAAGTTATCCACAAACGTGTAGTTCACTGGAAATCGCTATCTCACAAGTCTTTTTATATATGTATTCCAGCGAGAGAAATCTCGTCGTTGAAAATTAGAACATATCATCGTCGCAAATCTAGTTGTTGACATAAAATAAATGCGAAAAGAAGCCACTGTAATAGCCAAATAAAAATGATGATGGAAGAATGAAAAAAAAACACACACACACACACCGAGCACAGCGTAGAACACACACCGAGAGAGAGAGAGAGAGAGAGAGAGAGAGAGAGAGAGAATTTTTGTTTCATTTTTTTTTTGTCGCTCTCGCTTCGCCTGATTCTGATATAGCATTGTCGAATGGAAATTGCATTTGATAATTTACCGAGAAATTGAGAGATATAGAGCCACACAATACAATGCCGAATTGAAAGGACCAAGACAGAAAACGCACAACACAGAGAAAATAAGCGAAGCGTACAGCCCACAGACAAGTTGTTAAAAGAGACAAAACTGTCTCATTTTCTCTCTCGCTCGCTCTCGTCACACAGATATGCGTACGCAATGAATGGAATTCACGGTATAATCTTATAAAATTTATATTGAAGCCGTAATGCGACACAATGATATATAGCGCACAGGGCCAATATGTGACAATTTTGGTAGCGTGCTTGTTGTTGTTGTTGATACCAAGAGCCGATTCTCATGTATGTGCTTGAGCGCGCGAGCGCACACACGTCTATGCACTTTACTTTCTTCATTCGCAGTTTGTGTGTGTGTGTGTGTCGCGCCAGCCTCGGACACAATGTTTTTATGCCTCGAAGCGAAGTCTTCGACTTTTCAACATCTCTTGCTTGCTCTGGCTTGCTCTAGCTCTTTCCCGCTTCCGCGTTTGAAATCTCTTTTTCGCAGTTTCATCGTTTATTCTATCGCTCTCTAGCTTTCTCGCTCTGTGGCTTTCCCGCTTTCTTGCTTCCTCACTCTCTCGATCTATTGCTCTCTCACTCTGTCATTCTCTCGCTTCCCGATTCTAGTTCTTCCTCACTTTTGCTCGAATGCCCGCTCACTTTTGTATACACAGAAATATTTTTGCAACAAACAACGTCAGAAGGAAAAAAACAACAAAAATCGCTTTGTTTTCCTTCTGTCTTTTATTTGGTGTGCCAAAAAAAAAAAACATTTTACGAGTGTAATTTCGTATACGAGAAGCGGCTATGCATGACGAGCAAATGTTCAATTACACAAGGAAAACAGCGGCAGTGATCCAAAAACGCACGCAGAAAATTACGAATACATGAGAACATAAAAAAATACGACGAAAGAAAAGCCGTAGAGCAAAAGCAGCAGCAACAGTAGTAGTAGCAGCGGTAGCGAATACAAAACATCTTTATTCGTCTTTGCGAATGTTCTTTTTTAAATGTACTTTTAGTTATTGTTGTTGTGTTTAGCGAAAACGTCGCCGATGCTACTAAACACCGCCGCACATATATTGTGTTGTTGCTAGCCGGTGACTTGTTGTGTGTTTTGGCCAAACGAGGCTTCGGTCCAAGAAAATCAACAAAGTTTTATGCTCTGATTTGCGGTGACCGCGGAGCGAGAAAAAAAACCAAAATAAAGCCGCTTGAATTGGCCATTGGGTAATTTCATAATCATGAGCTTTGGTCCATCCAAAATGGACAAAAAACAATTGCACATATCAAAGCGCACAGGCAATGAGCCAATGATGTGACAAAAAGGCATTTTGTCGCTTCAATCATATAAAAACGACGTTGAACTAATGAGAGAGACCGAAAAAAATAAACAATAATAAAATGGACGGAAAAAATGGTCTCTAGCTTTCAAATAGAATAACCGATAAAGTCTGAGAAGGACGGCCATTAAAATGATGGCCGGTTCGACGGAAAATGCTGAGAAACATTGCGATTAATGCACATCTCTCCCTCTCTCTCTCTCTCCCTCCCTCTTTCTCGTGTGTGTGTGTATATGAAAATTGGAGATCAACGAACAACAACCAAGAAAAAAAAAGAGTAAGCGAATACTTTCGAGGCTAGGCTATCCAGTGTTTGGCTGGGTGCCAAAATTCAAACACCGTGCGCAAAAAGCAATATTTTTTTTCTAATAGAGCTGTAGACTGAAAGACAAAGAAACACAACGAAATGAAATAAAAAATTATAGCAATACCAGGCGCAGTAGCATATCGTTCTCCTCCGTCCCACACCAGCCACGATAGTCCTAGAAAAAGAAAACATCGACGATTCACAGATTCACACAAAGCCGCCTCATGTTTATTTCACGAAAATTTACGGCCGTCACACATCGGACAAACGCGAGCCAACGATACACATCAGGATTTTGGGCATTACATGGACGAAATGTTCATGCGAGCAAGAGAGATAGCGATATTTTAAGAGATAGCCAAAATTGAGTGGAAAACACTGCAAAATGGTGTGCAAGACATGGCAAAAAACGAGTAAATGAGTAGCACATGAATAAACTAGAAATGACGGTGAAAAGAGTTTGCCATTGAATTTCGACCGAATTTCCCGCTTTTTCTTAATTTCCCATCGTCGTCTTCATTTTCAACGGAACAATGTGCGATCACGGCCCGTTTCTTTCGACTATTGCTGCTGATTTTTTCTTGCTCTGCTGCTGCTGCGAATACTTCTTCTTGATTTGCTGCTTCATATTCTCTTACTTCTTCCTCTTCCTTTTGCCATTTCTCCTCCAAAAGTGAGAGAGGATGGAGAAAGAGCGAAAAATGCTTCTTTTGGCTGAAACAGAGAGTGAGAGAGGATGAAGAGAGATAGAGAGAGAGAGAGTGAGAGAAAGAGAGCTATTGAAGCAAGAAGCGATGTCGAGATGCATCGAAATAAAAACCAAACAAATTGGCCGATATTCTTACCTTAAAGATGCCATCCGAACCGAATGAGCTGTATCCAACTATATTGTTGGCAAATGTTACTGTCGTCTTTGCACGCTTGCTTGTGCTCGCGCGAATGCTCTTTCGCCATTATATCGGATATAATATCGAATTTTCTCCGCTTTGAATTGCCAATGTTTTTTGATAAGTGCATTTCGAATGTCTGGTGCGACAGTCGATCCACCCAAAGAAAAACGGCAAACGACCAGTGAACACTGAAGAAAGAAAAAAACACACACCAGAAACAGGTTAATAAAAGAATTCATTTGGTGCCACCTGAAAATATGTTCAATTCGGTGCTTTTTTTTTCTTCTTTGTGATAATATCTTGGTTGTGTCGCATTGTCATCATTTCTCCCCGTTGTTATGGATAGAATGGCGCAATTTTGTCGAGTTTGTTAATCGGCCAATTGCAATTTGGTTCTTCGGCTTTTTTTTTCTGTTCGTTTCTGACTTCGTGCTAAACAAGACTGAGCGAATTATTCTCTGTTATTTAGCGCTAAATATTTATCTCGTGTACGCCTAAAAACGGGATTCGTTTGGATTTTTCGAGGCATGCTGT